CCCCCCTGCTGGCGCCACTGCCCTTAGGTGCTCATCTTGCTACAAATGCAAAACTGAATAAAGCCTTAAACACTGCAACAACACCAACACTTTTTTGTTAAAAAGCAGTGTTAATATTTGGAGAATATATTCTTCTAAACTAAATCGGTAAGTCATAAACGTTTGTTTTCCAAAGAGTTATTTGCTGCTCAAATCCCAAATCAATGGAAACATTGGATTGTTTTCGAACGAGCCCTTGGGATGCTACTTCATCCATGCAACCCTCTTTAAATAGTGATGAGAAACCAAACCAAACCTAACCATTGACCTTTTGCAACCCTTATGCCAAATTGTCTCCTTTAACATAATACTCTTCTAAAAATCTATAAAGCAGATCACCATGCTGCCCAGAGGATTCCAACTATTTGGGTCATGACCTGTGCATATATTGGCAGGATATGTGCGGCCAAATTGATTTCCTGAGAAAATAAAGCACACTTTAGGGTTGGGTGACAGTTTCTATTTTCATATCGTCCAATTGTGGTTTTTCAATATTTGCTTATCACTATGAGGCAGTGTGAGTAGGAGGTGATGGGGGTTGTTACGTCACAGCTTTCCAGGTAAATACCAACACAGCATGGATGAAAAAGATACACTTAATATCTTGTTTTGGGGGATATTATTGGTCTTACTCTGACATACAGCCCTTCTACAAGATAAGTAAAAGATATTTCCTGTTGACATGCAGACCACTAATTTATGAGCACACATGCTGGTTCACAATCCCTCTGATGCTGTCTTATATCATGTCATGTTCTGTTCAACATCATCTTCTTATCTTTAAAAGTATAGTACGTAGCGGGGCCGCCCCTAGCTCAAGGAGCGAGAAAGGAAGAGAGAGAGAGGTTGAAAGCACTATAGAGAAAATGAAGAGAAAAGCAGTGTTTGTGAAAAAAAGGAGTGACTCAGAGGAATGAAACGTTGCATTATGATGGTTCAGAAGAGTGTTCTGATAGATTGTGATACATGGCTGGTTTTGATAAGGCATGGCATTTTAGTGGATACTGGTTGTTTTGGAAACTGGAATACTTTTTGTTGAGACGGTCAACTTTAAAGTCATTAAAACATAGAATGGTGGACAAACAGGTTAGTTGTTATCACATACCGCTGCTTTTTCTTGTTGAAGTGCCTGGGCAGCAAAACGGGCCACATGGTTGATGATTGGAGCAAAGTTGGTTGGGCCGTAAAAGCGAATGTGAGGAAGACAGGCAGAGTAAGCCTGTGCAATACCTTCCACACCTAGACGGAGAGAAATACAAAATGTATTTGAGTTTCAATGAACATTAATGGCTTGAGAAGTGGTGATGGCAGGAGAGAGGCTTACAGAACTTGAAAGTGTGCATGCTGTATTGGCCCCATGGATGAGTAGGATCGCCAGGAGATCCAGGTGTTTTTGTTTTCGAGAGTCAGGTCCTTTTGGCTTCATGCTCTACTGAGCAACCTTCAATAACAGGGCCCCGCCTCCAACGCTGTATCCAACTCTCTTTATACTTCCATATGGAGAGACATTTTAACCAAGGGCCAAGCTGACGATGATGGTTTCTCGTCAGCTTTCTCAGACTCCAATCAGCTTAACCAACCAGACAATTAGAAGTGTGAATGAGGTCTTTTGTTGAACACCCTCCTTCTTTCTCAATCACCTGTATGGCTTTTTGTTTTACGACATTCAAAATATGGCATATCAATTAAAGGAAACAAACAATGACTTTTTGCTAAAATATGATCACTTGTTAGGTACCTAGAATGTTGTTTGTATCAACTATGGCAGCACTTTATCACTGCTCTACTCTAAATCAGGTTTTATTTTTTGTCCTGGAACTTTTCATTGGGCTAAATTAGTTTTTCCAAGAAAATATGAGCTGTAGTGTCATAGTTTGCTAACCTTACAAAGAACGTGCATTTGTGGAGTACACACAAATATGTACGCACAAATATGTTTTGACATTTTTTTTATTAAGCATAACCTCCTGCAAAAATATTAAAACAAGGTGTAAAGTACTGACGAATTACAAATATATTCTATTGAAGATAGATCAAGGGAAGGAGATTACAAATATATATATATATGTATATATATATATTATAATATATAAATATTGACCTGATGAGGACGCTAAATGGAATATCAGGGGCTCATTAAAGCATTTACAATTATTCTGACGGGAGCATGAATGTGGGAACCACATTTCTTATCCATCCATCCTACAGAACCACATAACAACCTCATTGTGGCGCTAGAGAAGATTCAGGATGAGACCAAAGATTTATCATCTGAGGACCATGAATGTCTGTTACCAATCACAATGAATGTATTTATAGTCTTCAACAGCAGAAAAGCTGTGAATTAATAAATGTGAATGCACCACTCCACATCATATCTGCTTTGGTCAGGAGCAACTGTTTTGTAGCGTAGCATTCATACTGCCAATTTAGAGAAAAGTCTTGTGTAGAAAGTGTACTGTAGGTGTAGTGTGAAGTTGTTATTTACTCAAAGATAGCATGTGACAGGAGCACCTGCTCCTGTCACATGCTATCTTTTTTCACTGCTTGTCACCTATTCTAGTAAAGCGGAAGAACACTGTTGCAGTGATGTTTATATATTAAGCTCATTATCTGTATATATTAATGTTCTTTTTTTTTAATATTATACAACATTACAATGGCATTAAAGCCTCATTTTAAAAGAGGAAATGGGATTATATTCTAGTGTCACTTGAATCACTTGAACATTTCAATTTTAGAAGTTTACAGTGACTGTGGCTGCGGGGGATTGTGGTCGTCTTTCAACCAGCCCGTGCAGTCAACATGTCGATGTATCCTTGGGCAAGATACTTAACCCTGAGTTGCTCCTGGTAAAACGGTTTGTGAATGTGCTGCTCTGTAAGAATGAGGTGTTAAGGGGTGAACGATTCATACTATGTAAAGCGCTTTGAGGGGTCGATAAGACCTGATAAAGCGCTATATAAGTACAGTCCATTTACCATTACAACCTATAAGCATAAATTAGCGACTGTGTTTTCAGCTAATACTATTGTGCTATGCTATATATGTCGACATTTGTATCAGTCAATCAATCAAAGTTTATTTATATAGCCCAATATCACAAATATAACATCTGTCTCAGGGGGCTTTACAGTTTATACAGCATACCAATATGACACCCTCTGTCCTTCAAGAAGACAATCAGACTCAAAGGATCCATTTGAGAAAATAAAAACCAATGCATGATTTAAATCAGCAGCATGGTCATGGATGGAGTGTGAGAGTACTACACAGTTACTCACCTGAACAGAAGGGGTTTGTAGGGTCAAAGTTGATGGCAAATTCATGTGACACCTGTAGTAGACGAGAAACACAGACCATGATATTGCTTCTTCATTACACTTTAAAATATTGTTGAAAAATACTGTCCGTTTCTCCCACACTTTCTTCCTCCCTCCCGCTCTCTGAACGGCTCTCTTTTCTTTGTCCTTTTCATCAGCTCAGTACCATGGCAACACAGATGGGTTGACAGTTGCGTATGCGTAATCATGTGAATATGCATGTATAATATTGCTAACAGTTTTATCTCCTGTGTGTGTGTGTGTGTGTGTGTGTGTGTGTGTGTGTGTGTGTGTGTGTGTGTGTGTGTGTGTGTGTGTGTGTGTGTGTGTGTGTGTGCGTACGTGTGTGTGTGTGTGTGTGTCAAATACATGTATTATACTGTATAGGCATGTTTTAACTACAAGTCTGCATGTAAACCCTCCTCCCTTTTTTGTGCATACACACATACTGTTGTACATGTATCACACACGCAAAAAACAATAACAACAACACCAAAAAACACACACACACATACCTTCCAGTCTGGTGCGAGTTGGGCTCCAAATCCCAAAGCAGGAAACATTTTGTCGCTGAGGAGGAAAGCATTACAACAGATTTTGAACATTAGTAAAACCTGCTTCTTTGTTTTTTCATTCAAATTCAGTAAACTGGATTTAGACAGCAAACAGAATCCTGTTCTACTTACATTAAGAATCTAGTTCAAGTATATTTAAAGAGGAACCAGCAGTATAAATAAGCAATTTAGCAAAATGATTTCTCACTAAGAGAAGAAGCACCTGCTTTCTGAAGGGCAGGATACAAAGAAGAGTGGTTCTTGGGTATGATGGGATTCAGATGAACAAGTTGAATTGTTACTACAAAACCCACAGTGACGACAGTACACAAAAGTTAGGTTTGCAAAAATCCGTCACTCTGGTCTTTGTAGAGACACAGCATCATAAGCTTTCTCATATGGCCCCAGGCCAATCTCCTCTCATGCTTTTAGTTTTTGGGTGGTCCAAAGCAAACAATCAAGGTGTGTAAAACCAGTTGAAATACTTAATATAGCAGTTTTGAAGCAGTGTTTGTCTAAAGGCACTTAAGGTGCCATTGCTGCTAAATATCCATACATCCTATTTGAAATACAAATAAAAAAAAACAATAACAAAGCCAACAAAAACATATTTTAACGATATGGCTGATAACAGGATACATGTCAATTTAGTAAAGCTTCTGATTTCAGCCAACGAAGATGACACCATTACACATTTAAAAAAAATGTGTATGGGTTGAATTTAGGACCTTGGTTTGAAAGCAGTCGAAAAACTTTTGGGATAATGTAAGAACACAACTCCAAAAATTACACATGTGTAATCCTTTTCATACATTTTATTGCATAACTATTACATATTATACCTACTTTACATTAGGATAACTGTAGTTCTGTATCTGATCAAAAAGACTCACGTATCATAGTCCTGTATAATTTGTCCCACAGCTAAAATGGCAGCGAGATACTCGTTGCTGCCAAGTGGGTTAATGTAGTGGAGGGAGGACGGCTCTCGAGGGTTCCCATTAGATGCTGTAAAGTCTATTCCAACCTAAAGAAATACAAAGAAGTGACATATAAGAGGTCATTTTAGAAAAGCTGCAGTGTTTTTACATTAGGGATGTTCTAATGAGCTCAGGATAAGTGAGGGTTGTTATCTGTTTCCTTTATTACCTTCTCCAATAAGTTAACAAAGCAGAATCACCTACTATAGCACAATGACAGGTGAATAAGTGAGGCAGCAGCAACAGCAAACAAACAGGAATGGTTGAATCTCTTTTGACATAAAATACAAATGTCTGTTTTATTTATTCCTTGCTGTGCAGTATATTATCATGGGAATATAAAGGGTAAATTGGTTCATCTAGTTATTACAGAAGCTGTGATTTTTAATACTGTTATGCATTTCAACATGCTGCTTCACTTACCGTAGCAACTAATGGTTTTATGAGTTTCTCTATTAAAGGATCAGTAAGCAGTTTTATGTTAAACTATATAACTATAACTAACTGTCTTAGCCTTTGGATTCACAAATTGCAGAGTTTTCCTTCTTCCAAATATCCTCTGGTTTTAGAACTTTTTAAGAGTTTAAAACTGCCCGTTTTCCTCATGTAGGGCTCAGTGATCCTTTCTTTTATTTATTTATGCCATTCATTACTCAATTTGAAGTAAAGGTCTGAAAGTTTAAAGAAAATAAGAACTGGAGTTGCTGGTAAGTTTTCAAAACAGTGTCTGAGCTGGAACATCTCATTATTTTGGAGTTAAAGGACTTTGACAGTCGCATTTTGAGGAAAAGACATCGCATACATAGCTGGTTTGAGAGACAATTAGCATGATTTATTCAATATTGTGATTGATTTCTGAAGTCAACAATCCATGCTATGCTAAAATTGTCAACCATGATATGTCAGTGCAGCCTTTGAACCTTATAAAATACCCGAGTAGCAACCACTTAGTACTGGAAAGTGTAGTTAATGTAAAATGCCTTAAACCTGACTCAAAATCTGAAAATCAGTCCGATTTGATAAATTATAAGAAAATGACCCTACTTCTCACTGAATTTACTACCTTAAACATTAGTTTATAGACTCAATTGCTGGTTTCAAGTCTTGTTTAATTTAGCAAATGCTTTTGGGATACCTTGTGAAAGGTTGATATAACGATGTTGTCCGGTTTGGTGTTTTGTGTACAATTTTGAACCTTTCACAGTGGGTTTGTTTTCAGCAAAATGTATTTTTCAGCTTCATTTGTACATAGCTCCACCATCTTGCCCAAACATGGTAATTTCTGGTTCCAAAAAAAAAATGGCAGTGGCCAAAATGCCTAACTTGAGGCTACCAACGTTAGTGTACAAACCAAACGGTGATGCCACTTTCGCTGCATCCACTTCATTAATACAATTTATCCATATAGGCCTACCTGTCAACCTTGTAAATACAATTTTGACATTTAACCTGACTAACAATAGACATTTGCCCACTGAATAGTTTTCCTAATTCATCATACTTAAGACGGTGGCCGTTTCTCAATCTCGAGGATTCTGGCTTCCAAGACAATATTTCAAGGATGATACGTCATCGAGTGCCGCCGAAGGACTATTCCAATCTCCAGAATACTTGGAATTCCACCGAGGCCGCGTCCTTGGTTTGGGGAAATTTCGAGGCTGCACATGGGTAGACTTCGCGTCCTTCAAATTTCCACAATGCTTTGCGCAAGGACCAATTTCAAAAACCCTTGCGGAGAATGGCTGAACTGATGCAGCACACATTTGAATGTAAGTGCAGTATGTAGTGGAGTAGAACATGTGTTGTTAAATATGTTACTTTGTTACATTTGTTTGTTATCACCAAAAATGTGTTCCGGAAAAGTAAAGTAAAGCAAGTTCATAATTAGATTATTTGTTTTCGGTACAGTTTATGTTGAAATCGTTAGAGAGAGTGGCACACTTGTCAGCCCGTTCCATTCTTCTTCGTTTTCCGAAGCCGTGGCTTGGAAGCATACTTGCTTCGTTTCTGAAGGAAGTGACTTGGAAGTACGCGACTACCAAGCCAGCATCCTCGCGATTGAGAAACACCCATTGTTATTTCAAAACTTCAAGGTCACAGAGCAAAGACTCAATGAGAATTTCCTTATTTTTGAGAATGCAACCTTTCCAGCTGTGGCCAAAAAGACCAATCTAGGCTTATAATGTCCCTGAAACCACACAGAAGCATATTTTTAACACATATGACCACAGGGTGATACTACGATGAAAGAATATATACAAATATGAACACACAGATACTTCAAACACATGTACCCAATATAAAAAGACACACACACACACACACACACACACACACACACACACACACACACACACACAAAGCCGAACATAATGAGATTAGGAGTGACAAGTTTTTCCTCCGGCGATGAATGACGACCTGTGAGCTGACAATGACCGACCCAGAAAATCCCTCCTATCAGCTTTAGTATTGTCTAAACCAGGGGTGCACACACTTTTTCAGCTTGGGAGCTACTTTTAAAATGACCGAGTCAAAATGATCTACCTACATTAAAAATGCTACATTAAAAAAAAATGCATATATATATATATATATATACTGAGTATACCTTATGTTGCTGTACCTAGCATAACTGCATGAACCCGTATGGCACAATACAACTCAGTACATTTTTGGTCATTACGTCAATTTTATACCCTTTCTTTAGAAGAATTGTATAAATTGGAAGGCTAACTAGGTAATCAGCCTGCCGGTGATTTGCAGCTGGCGCGGTCGACCGCGCATGCGTGGTGAACGGCGTGTTAGAAAAGATGAGAACCAGACTGGCTTACCTGTACGTCAATCTAGTGGCAAATGCCATAGTAAGGATGGATGATAGGCTAACTATTTTTTATTAATTTATTTTTCAATGCCAATGCGATCTAACCACACTACCTTTGCGATCAACGTATTGGGCACCCCTGGTCTAAACCATCTCCTTTCTCTCTTTGTTTGGAGTGTTATGAAACGACAATGTTCTGGTTCAATGGAGGACAACAACCGAGAAAATAGAGAAGCAGGAAGTCACAAAAAAGGTGCTAGATGTGTTGGATGTTGGGCAAATTAGGTAAATAATGGAAGAGAGGTTAGGGCATAGAGAGCAGCAGGGGCAGCAAGAGTGACCGAAATAGAGATGTGGGGGGACATAATAAGGGTGCTGCTGCGTATTTACGTAAGTTGTAGCATGTATGGCGCTCCTGAAAATGCCTACAGTGTGAAGACTGAAGTAGCATACTCTTAGTTCAGGGTGATAAGCAAATAAGACATTTCTCTGTCATCACAGCTAGTTTTTGCAAATTAAACAACATAATAGATGAAGGGTTTCGGAGTGTATTGCATGTTGCCTAACTCTATGGTAAACCAAGTAATTGGAATAACATGACAAGTATAGCGCACGGTCGAAATCTAAAAGTCAAACCAAGCTGCCACAATAAGACGATTAAAGCATAGTTAATTAAATGGATGTCTAAGATAAGCATGAGCATTTCTTGTTTTTTTTAGAGTGCAAATGATTGCTTTGTGAATTGAGAAAGTCTTTCACAATCAGAGCAATTGTTAGTTGCAGCCAAAAAGTCAAACTTTTATGAAGAAAAATGAGAATTATTGTGGATTACAGTAGAAATTGGACAATCTATTACAATACAGAAATGACTAAATAGAACTTTATGGCTGTTTTGCTATGGTCGTTCAATCCTGGTGCATTCCTCCATTTTTTTAAAACAACTCTATCATCATGTATACTAATGAACAGCCATGTGGTAAACTTTTGTTGCCAATTGATGTATTTACTCATGGAGGGAAGTACGCTTTTGCATTGTTCTCCTGTTTAACTTTAGTGAAATCTTCCAAGTTCATACATACTGAAGCGATTCAAACCCTGTTCGGGTTGGTCAGTATTTTTGTGCAGTTGCTAAAGGATCGCTAATCTTATTATCTGACAATTGGGTGGATTTCTGGCATGTCATAAATACCATTAAGATTATGAGGGGCAAAGTCTTTGCCACCTTCTCCTAGAAACTGCCATAACGTCTCCCAGTTTTCTTCCTTTCTGTCAAGATGCTTAGGACCATAGATGTGACTAAGTCCCTCTAAAGCTCTACCACCAACCATGACTTCCTTTCCCCAGGGACAGGTCATGTTGAATGAGACACAGAAGGAATTTTCAGAGTTACTTTATTCACCCAGCCAACAGGCTCTCAGCCTTGAACAGCACTTACAAGCCTAGATTTGGAAAGCAATCCATGGCATACTCGGTCCTGGTGATTTTGTAAATCTGCTTTAACTGCTCATTGGTGTCTCCACAAGGAAACATATACGATACTGTACTGAATTCAAAATGGCTGGAACAACATCTCTGTTTCTGTTGTTTTACACAGGAAGCAAGCACATTAAACAGTACTTCAAAGGGAATACAATTGAATTTCAACCCATTGGAACTAAAGTAAATTATGGGTCTAAAACAAATTAAATCTCCATATTTGAATTATCAAATGAACCACAAAACCCTTTTTACTTGCAATTACAATTTTTCAGCCTAGGTTTTAATTAATTTTGTCTTACTATGAACAGAACAGTCGATGGCACCCAAAATGTTATGGCATTTTTCCTTCCTCTCTGATGACAGATATTATTCGTTTGATGGCTGTGAATTTGACGACAGTGGGAGCTGAAACCAATCTGTTTCTAACTTATTTCTTGCCCGGAGCTTTTAGTAATTGCTAACACTCATGTAGACTAAACACAACATGACAGACCCACAGTTTCAACCAGGAAGGGCACAGAATTAAAATAAACAGGGGAGACAGAGCAACATCTTATTACTGTATATTTCAGAGCATCAATGTGACAGCAAACGTCTGTGACTGAAATAAATTAGAAGGATCTACTAGTGCCACATTACTGTCAAATAATTGACATGCTGACATTCACGTCGGAGGTTTCTCAGCTGTGCCTAGTCAAGTATCAGCCTATTCTCACGCCAGGACCTCTCCGACTCATTTGCAGTTAAACCCCCAGAGTGATGGATGGAGTGCATTCGGATGGTTGAGGGTGTGAACTCTTCTGGAGTTACTCTGTGTTTCATTCAAAGGTGTTCCCAGTGACAACTAAAAGCTGCTGTCCACTGCAAGACCTTTACTGCGGGATAGTCTATTTAGGGTCTAATGATATTTGTTCTGGCAGGTTTTAAATAACAAAACAATAGAAATCCCAGCCGTTTCAAGCATACTTTGGTGGAAGGCTCACAGTAGATAGGGATATTTCATATCCAATGATATGCGGTTGTATAACCATACATTCTTGTGGATTTAAGGTTACTTAACCGTTCATAGAAACAAGACTTTATCTGAAACAGGGTTGTATTGAGACAGACCTCTTTTCCTGCAGTGAGTGTATTGGATGTTTAAAGTGTCACTGTTAATGTAATATGAACGAATCACAAGTAAAATAGATACTTATCCAAAAGTGACGGACCCTGGAGGACAGTAGCGAAGGGAGCTAGGTTAACTCAGATAGGACCTAAGGCTATTCTACTACCTGGTCTGCTTCTGGCTAATGCCTGGTCGCAAAGAAAATAAAATAAGAATCAGGCCAACCCAGCAATGATGGATAAAGAATGCTGTGCCAATATTTTCAGATAAAGCTGAGCAACTGGAGGACAGAGCACAATACTCCAATGGAACAAGAGGAGGCGGACATTTTGTTTACATTGCTGTTGCTTTAACGTCAAAGTTGATGGCAAATGTTGCCCTAATGTTTTCATGTTAATATGTTAGCCATGATATCTGCCCATCGTTCAGTGTTTTTATAACATTTGTGTTTATTCCACATAATGCAAATTCAACTACCGCCACCAAGGCCAATGGTGACCTTGCACCCTCCTCGTAATTCAGGATGTTACAGGTTCTTTCTTAGACCATGCTACACCCTTCGCCCAAGTTTAATGCAAATCACTTGTTTTTTCTGTACCTCAGGTATCCACTGTATTCTTTTATTTTGCTTTCTTGTGTAAATTGATTACAACTGCATTTTGTTGTGCAACCCTGTGTTAGGTGGCGTGCATTTGTATTTTATCCTTGAATCCTTGAAAACCAGGGACTCACAAGGGGCACATAAAAAAAAAGAATGATCACAATCATTCATATGAGGCTGAGATATCCTGACTTTTATTTCCTTGCATCGATCAAGTTCCAAAAACATAGAGATGGTTTGAGAAGGAATTTTGTAATTTAACAGAAATGTGAAGTACCATCAGATATTGTTCGGCCTTGTGAATGAAGAAATATATGACAGTCTCATATTTAGCCAATATTGCACGGCGCTAATCCATTGGACAATATGATAAAGCCTGGATTTAAGATGGAAGAATTACATATTATATCAAAAAAATGTCATAGACTACTGTAAAGAGCAGGCTGAAATTAAAGGAAAAAAAAACAGCTTTACTGATATCATCTGTCATCATCTTGAGCTGTGAAGATGCTTGTTTGTGCTCTCATTCAAGAAAAAAAATGTTTCTCCATGAATCCACAGGGACTGGGGCGTGCTCTACACAGTTCTCAATGATATCAAACATAAGATATAAATAATAGCGTAATTCATTTGAAATAAGTCTTTCACAAACAGCCCATCAGCAGTAGCAGGCTGTCTCTTTGTGTTGGAGTGTAGAGAAACGTTGCTCTCTTCTCCAGCTCCCAGAGCCCCGAGGAGAGACTTTCCCTTCCTGGAGATTAGGATTAGAGCCATACTAAGTCTGATTGAACACCGCAAAACAGCTCTTTCTGCGTGTGTGTGTGTCAGGGCGGGTGTATGTGGCAGTGTGTACGTGAGGAGAAGATGTCATCGGTGACTGAGCGTCTGCGTGAGATTATGTTTGCCTGTGCATGTCTAAATCAGCCAGTGTGCAGGGAAGGTGCACGCTTGAAGAGTGCAGAGGTACATGTGATAGCATGTCTGTATGAAGAAGATACTGTGTTTGTGTGCGTGTGTGAGAGTGCCAAAGTCATGGTTTGGGAGTTTGCATGTACAGTAAATGTGAAAGCACGAGTGTGACAGGGATATTATGGGCTCACATGTGTGTACGCATGTGTATGCAAATGAGTGTGTGAGCAGGAGAGAGAAAGTATGTGTGTTAATACAGCAATAGATGTGCGTGTGTTCATGTGTGTGTGTGTGTGTGTGTGTGTGTGTGTGTGTGTGTGTGTGTGTGTGTGTGTGTGTGTGTGTGTGTGTGTATGGTTGTGTGTGTGTGTGGTCTGTGACAAAAGGCAAAAGATTAGGAGGGAGCAGTGAGGATTTAAGAGTTCCCATTCCGCCTTAAATTTGCTCATCTCACCACCACTAGAACAGGCAAATGTTCCAATTGTATTGAAAGTATGCTCACTGCAAACATGCAATATTATGAATGAGCATTTCTGCTTGTATTCATTTTGGTTTTGGTATTTAATTAAATGGTGCATCTTCAAATTCTCTTCAGAGCTACTTGGAAATGCTACTGCTTCTTTGTAGTTCAGATCCAGTCTCTTACATTTTACACATGTTACACCATTTGTAATTATGAAACAGGTATTCATTCATCTTTTCTGATATATTTTACAATCTTTAAATTACAATTTACAGTACTCATGTGCAATTAATACATTAAACCACATTTATTATTCACTATGACTTACTGTTTTTGAATAATCTGCCACCAAATGAGCCCCTCAGTTGTTTATTCTGCTGTAATATTATGCCACAAAAACAACAACAATCTCAACAATAAGGGTGAGGTAAAAAAAAACGTTCTGACAGTGAAGCTTGTCATTGTCATTGACTGTGTTGAATTTAAGAGAAGCTCTAGTAGCTTTTTTGCCCCCTGGAGTAGCAGAGCACATCCTGTGACACTGACAGCATGTCTGCACAACAACACAAGAGAGGTCACCTCCAGATAACACCTCTTTTGTGCTCGACTAAGACCTGTTGAGACAGAAATACTCACCCTCGCGGCACAATCTTCTATAAGACACAATGTAAAAGTGGTCTCAAAGAAATCCCTGGTTGAACCTATTATCCCGTGGTTAAAACATTTAGGAATAAAGACATTTATTTGCTATGGAATTCAAATCCAATATGGGTCACTTCAGTATCTAGGGTGCAGAGTTTACATGATCCTACAGTATTGCGAAATAGGTCATTATTGGGTTTATGTGCTAAATAAGTTAGAGAGTTTGACATTTACATTTAGTGGGGATAAAGGTTTATTTAAAATGTTGTATTATTACATTTGTTTCAGTGAAATTGTGGTTTGAATTGAATACTTTTCAGCATATCAATAATCTCAAATTGTAGTTCCTACACCCACATAGCTACAGTTCATCACAGCAATTTTCTGTTTGTCTAAATACAAAGATTGCATATTTGAATGAATCCAATTAAGCGTAAAATAGATTTAAATAAATGTGCTAAACATGCTTTAGAGTAGAGTTCTTTAAAATAAGGACTTGGATGGTTCTATAATTGTTCCATCATTAGAGGTAGGGCTGCAAATAAAATCTGGAATGGTTCATATCTGATGTGAAAACGTTTTCAAACAATCACAGGAAGCATACATTCATTGCCCTTTAATTGGTTGAAAAAGAAAACGTCTTCTGTTTGGGTAGCTTGTGAACTAGTTTGCTATTTGCGGGTTTGATATATCTACATTTGATTAATGTACTGTTTATCAGACCACAAATGAGACTATAGTTGAACAAATATTAAAATAAAAACAAGGAGCAGGTGTAAATCGAGAACACACTTAAAGGGAAACGTCACAAATTCCAGCATGTCACAAACTACTCTATCGGCTGCATCTGGAGCCAGTTCTAGCTCACAGAGCTGGGAAATTGTTGTAGAGATAGGGAAGAGAAAAAAAACGGACACTGTGAACAGAATGTATAACTGACGGTGTTTATGTGTTTGTATCTCTTATTTGTATTCCGTAAGTGTGCATTTGTTCTTAGTCTAAACAGATACATTAGACTTGTGTGTGAGAAGGTGTCACAGTAACAGTGAGCCAGTCTGAACAGTCCAAAGATTTATCAGCACAGTAGCTGTATTTGTTGGACAAACACAGAGAAAAATAATATAACAATTCAATATGTGTCTGGTGTGTGTGCGTGTGTGAGATTGGCTATTACAAAACAGGAGTCTTTCTCACTCACTCAGTCACAAAGAGGTGTGACATCACCAGGGACACACAAGAGTTCCTCCTAACAAGAGACCAAAATACACTCTCTCCCTCCCTCTGGTCTTTCTGTTTCTTTCCCCATATCCTGATCTCACACTTACTTGCTATTCCCCATTTCAGAATATACATTTCTGGTATTAAAAGGTTTTTTCCCTGTTGCCTTTCTCCCCTCCTATTTCTACAATACAAACAAGTACCCTCATTTTAATGGTTCACAATACCCCATTACGCGTGTATACTCCACCCTCACACTTTTCCTTTGTGTATGTAAATGATTGTGATCCAACTGTAACCCCAGGAGATGGAAATAAAAAATCTGAATGTTTTCCATCTGTTTTCGAGGCATCTGGAAACATGTATCTCATTACCATATAATTATAGAAGCAGAAATACAGGCATGTTTATGATTTACTCACCGTAAACATGAGCTGGCATCCTCCCAAAATATAATCCAGGAAAGTGTAGTCTCTTGTTATCTAGAGAAACAAGAGTCACAAAACAAGTAAGAAGAACACCTACAAATACCGGTTTCATTGATTATAGATTTATGAAAGGAGAGAGGTCCTGTTAAAAAATGCATGCGATCAAATCAATAAAATCATTAGACTGTTATTCTAGAAACAAGAAGAGAGATGATTATAATAATTGTACTTACTCAAACACAACAGACATGAAGTAAACAACCCAACTAAACACGGCACATTGTAAAAATATATTTTCATAAGCATAATTGTTCTAAAATTACAACAAATACCCAGTTTTTCCAACTGAAGGTACCACCAATGGAGCGCCAATTACTATCTTGTTTGAACCAAATTTCCTCTCCAATTACGAGGAATACTTAGCATGGATTTTACTGCCATTAGTCTTATCCCTGCGGGCAGCCAACAAATATAATTACTGTATTAGCCGTTTTGTGCCGATTGTGAATGTGTGTGTGTGTATGTCTGTACAAAGGCTGATTGTGCGCATGAACATAAGTAGAAGGAAAATAATCAATTATGAAAGCTTGTCATCATGTGCACACAGCTTTAAAGTCAATCCAATAGGAACCTTAAGACTCAGTGTTTCATCTTAATGTGTCCTCTGGGGGGCTCAAAGCTACTGCGCTAATCAGTTATTCAGGAGGGAGGGAGTTATGGACACCTACTAAGAAGTGTGTCAGCAGATCAGAACCACAGTGCTTTCATCATATGTTCATGATTGAGTCGGGAGATGTTTTGTGGACAATCAGGTGAGTGATTTTTGTTCTTCCAGTTCAGAATTTAATGCACAAAACTTATCCTGTTGACAGTCTGGAATCCAACTTAAACTTGTTATAAATGGCTCTGATATTATTCTGAGCCAATTAATAGATTTTGATAAATAGAAAATGAACCAGCTCGCATAATTTAAACTGCATGAAACTGCAGCAATGCTCATGTCCATTGAACAATTGAAAGGAGTGGATTGCTTTAATGCCCTTATTGTGGATTCTGCAGCGGTATAACAATAAAACGATCCTAAAGCGGATGAACTAACTCCATATGGAGATGTCAAGAGATGTCATATGAAATGTGCTTTACATGGGATTCCACAAGTCTAAGTGGCAGGCTAATTACTAACCATCAGTCTTAACGTGAACATTATCTGCACCGACACCTGACAGCAGTCATTATTTGGAAGCTAGCAAAGATTCAGATTGTAATACAAACGTGGATACTGCTAAAAGAAAAGACTAAACTAAAGCTTGGTTTATTTAATCATCATCCACACATCACCCACCCATCCATCCATCATCATTCATCAACCAATTTCTTTATTTGTCCATATTGTCCATTCACCAAACCATCACCATCCATCTAGTCATCCGTTCATCCATAATACATCCATCAATTAATCAGCCATCTATCTAACCATGTATCCATCCTCCATTAATCTATCCATCAATCATCCCTTGATCCATGAATCACCAATTCAAAAACCATTCATAAATCTAATCAACCATTATTAATGATCCAACAATCCATTCACCCAACCATCATCATCATCATCATCCATCCACCCATACATCCATCCTCCTGTCTTTTCACCCAACATGAATCTATCAATCCTTTATCCATTATCCTTCATCCATCCATCATCTATCCATCCACCAAACATTCATCACCCATTCTTTCTTCATCATTCATCCACCCATTTGTCCATCTTTGATCCATTAATCAGCATCCATCCATCCATCCATCCATCCATCCATCATCCACCCATTCATCCATCCATCATCCATCCATCATCCATCCATCCATCCATCATCCATCCATCCATCCATCCATCATCCATCAATCATCCATCCACCCACCCACCCACCCACCCATCCATCCATCCATCATCCACCCATCCATCATCCATCCATCCATCATCCATCCATCCATTCATCCATCATCCACCCATCCATCCATCCATCATCCACCCATCCATCCATCATCCATCCATGATCCATCCATCCATCCATCCTCACCTTACATGACTTGACAATGATAAAGCCTGAGTTTTTATAATTCTTTTTCTTCTTCTGTTTCTTGGGGTTGATGCAGTCAAACTCCACCTGAAGAGATGGAAATACAGAGAAATGCAGATCAAAAATCAGTATCAGAAGAGAAGGAATTGAGAAACAATTTCAAGAAGGAGGGGGAATGATGGTAACAGTAGAGATGACAGCACAGTTGTAAGGAGTAGTGAGACGGGGGGGACATGAACAGACGACTGAGAGGCAGTGACTTGGATCTGCATGTATTCCACACACCGCCTACAGTCACTGCAACTTGACAGTCAAACATGGAGATGTATTATAAGCAAACCATTATATAGTGGTGTAGTATACAGTCTATATGTGAACCTACATGTAAATGGGAAACATGAATGCATTGTTAATTAAAAACACTATGAATTCATTTAAAGAAAAACGAGTATAAGGACTTTCTAAAATACTGTAAATCATACAAACACATATTAAGCTATGTATTTGATGGAAAGTGGCATTTGAGACATGCACACAAACACGCATTCACATGTCTTCATTCAGCTGGTGATCATATGACAGGTACTGTAGCTCTAAATGCCTTGTCATGTTACTAGGGCTCAGTTAAATTCTGTTTTACATCTCAAAAGCACCTCTCATTTTCTCATCCTTCTTTTCACAACGTCTCTCTTTTTCCATCCCCCATCTTGTTATTTTGTGTGTGTGTGTCCCTACATCATTACCACACATGAAGAGACTCAGTGGGAGAACAAGTCATGAGGCTGCTTTGGCACATGAACAAATGAACACACATTTTCTCACAAACAGACCAGATGTGCACACACACACACACACACACACACACACACACACACGAATGAACGCTTTTCTGATCCTTGCATCTTTAAATCCAAAGCAGACCAAGAATGCAAAAGTCAAAAGAATGAATCTTCAGTGGCTTTAACATGAGAATGCCAATACTATGTACATGATTATTCCTGATTTGTTGTTAATACATGCAAATTGTCAGGGTTGAGTGAAGCAGGCAGGACCCAAATGCAGATTTCACATAAATATACCTTTATTCCAATTCCAAAACGTCAAAAACTGAACACTACCCCGTGACACAGTCAAAGACAAACAAGGAACTAACAATGACAGACAGAAAAACCAGAACTTAAATACACACAAGACTAACAAGGTGAACACAATAGGGTAATCAGACAGGAGGGAACACAGACAGAAAGCAACAGGCAAGACAGGGGGTGAACACTTTTCAAAATAAAACAGGAAACCAAAGACCGAAAAAGACAAGACAAAACAAAACACAGACAGATCGTGACATTACCCCCCCCCCTCAAGGGACGTCCCGAAAAAAGCCTGGCCGGGCCGGGCATAAGGGCCGGGCATAAGGGCGAAGGCAGCGGCTGGCGGCTGCCGGCTGGCGGGGGCCCCGGCCGGGAAAGTCAGGGGGCCGGGCTCGAGGGCGAAGGCCGCGGCTGGGGAACTCAGGGGGCCGGGCACAAGGACGGGCAAGAGCTGGTGGAACCCCTGGCGGGTCAGGCGTTGACGGGACCCTGGACGGAACATGGGCTGGTGTCAGTGGGACCCACGACGGAGCAAGGGCTGGTGCCGATGGGACCCCAAACAGGACAGGACATGGTGTTGGCAGGAAACCCGGCGGAGCAGGTGTCGGCGGGACCCCTAACAGGACAGGATATGGTGTTGGCAGGAAACCCGGCGAGCAGGTGTCGGCGGGACCCCCAACAGGACAGGATCTGGTGTTGGCAGGAAATCCGGCGGAGCAGGTGTCGGAGGGACCCCCAACAGGTCAGGGCACGGAGTTGGCAGGACTCCCAATGGAACCCCCAACGGAACAGGCCATGGGTTTGGCAGAACTCTCAGCGGAGCCCCCAACAACACAGGACATGGAGTTGGCAGGACCCCCGACGAAGAAGGTGTCGGCTGGACCTCCAACGGCATAGGACATAGGGTTGGCAGGACACCCGGTAGAAGAGTAGTCGGCGGGACCTCCAACGGGACAGGACATAGGGTTGGCAGGACCCCCGGCAGAAGAGTTGTCGGTGGGACCCCCAACGGGACAGGACATGGAGTTGGCAGGACCCCCAGCGGAACCTCCAACGGCACAGGACATAGGGTTGGCAGGACTCCCGGCAGAAGAGTAGTCGGCGGAACCTCCAAAGGCACAGGACATAGGGTTGGCAGGACCCCCGGCAGAAGAGTAGTCGGCGGAGCATGATTCTCATTACCTTTTTGCATAATCACATAAATGCTGTTTGGATTCAGAAAATAAATTGATAAGTGTCTTATAAGTGTCTAAGCAGCTGAGGTGAAGCAGCAAAGTTGATGCTGTGGTTTCAATCCAGATCATGACCTTCGCTATTTCAGTTCCCTCTCTCTGACAAATTCATATTCTGTTCCAGTACGATAGCATAAATAAAATACTAGAAAAAGTAAGAGGTAATAGATAACATTCCGGTTATCTAGGTCTCCGGGCCCCATCATTGCTATTTTACATCCATCCATCAGATACCTTTGGCAATTTACAACATGTTAGCATGACGACCAAAACTTGATGCCTACAACTGTGGGTTTGCAATTTTTTTGTATCTTCTTCACAGCCAAAGCATTTGCGTAACAGGTGGTTCCCTGATTTCCACGCTCTTGCCTTACAGAACAGCATCAGCACGCAAACTTGTTCCTGTGTATGTATCATCCTGTATCCTTGGTAAGTATCTGTTACCTCTACTGAGTTCTGGGCTTCGCTCATCTTGGCAGCCGTGGTTTGAAACTCTCCTATGAAGTCGTGGCCTCCGTCATTATCATAGTCGTAACACAGGACCTGTCATGGTGTAGAACACATCACATCAAGCCATCACCTTTGACATACTCCCATGTTGTTAGCTCATCGTAAAAACTCTTATGTTCTCCTAACTTCAACCAATCATTGGTTACATTATACTATACAAACAGTAGCACTTTTTAGTCCTGAATACCTTTTTTCATTTTGTGTAGTTTTGTAACAAGAGCATTTGATGACATATCAACTTAAACATGATCAAATGTTAATGCATTGCCAACGGTGCATAAACATGCTACGTATTGTCCATCTAGTAGACAATCCAAACAACACCAGCTTTGAAACAGATGAACTTGATGACTAACCTTGATGTTTCTGTCCACATCTCCATTGCAGAGAGAAATGAGTGGCACAGTAAAGGGTTTCCATGATGGATCTAAAGTGTTCTTTATAACCTAAATTCATAGAAAAGAAAGTGCACTCAATCATTAAATTACACAGCAGCAGATATACAGTATAATGCAGTTGTAGCCACAATAGATTTACCTTCACTTGGTGCTTTACACTCATTGCTAAAGTTACAGTGTATGAGCTCCTGGTTTAGCTAACAATGACTGCTCATGGTTGACATTAATGAATGTCAGATTAAGGTGTTTAATCCTCACTGATGACTCACCTCTGTCCTGTGCACCAGCATCCATGTGCCGTCTTCTCCCTGTTTGTGAAACTCCAGGTAGGGGTCTGACTTCCCAAAGAAGTCCTGCACAGCACAAAGACAGCTTGTTAAAAAGTACTTTTGATCATTCCTATTTTTATCCCAATCCCTCCTTTCCTCAGCCAAACAACTTATACTAGTTTGAAGATAAGGTAGGGAAAAATTACTTCAGAATTGAAAAATATAAGGTAACCTGCATGGGTAATATTTATTCATTTTGAACATCATCCTGATCTAGATTTATTCAGCAATTGTGAGATTACTGTTGTGTTTTCTTTGTAATCCTGTGTGCCTGTAAAGCCAATTGAGATAACATACTACGATTTGAAGCTCTTGCTAGCAACATAGCCGCAGCTGTGAGCCTTTACCTATTGTTAAAAGCTAAATGTTCTCTCCGCTTCCATTGATTAGCTAAAGTATTGGGTCAGGGGCTAGAATTTTCCAAGGCGCGTAAAGGGAGCCAGAGTTTGAACTGACACTGGTTTCGCCCTCTTCTGGACAAGATAGGTAATACTCGTCTCCAATCATACACACACGTTCCACCATTTGAGTAAACGTAGACGGCAAATCTAGACTAGCATACCCAAACATTTTCAAACCACAGAGCATTATGCCATAGCCAGTGGCGGCCGGCCCATAGGGGCGCTAGGGGCGCCGCCCCACCTTTTCCCACATTACAAATTAAAATTAAAAAAATTAAAATTAAAAAATATATATTTAAAAAAATATATATATTTTTTTAATTTTAATTTTTAATAAACAAGGTAAATATTATATAATTGGTATCAGTAAAATGTATATTCTACAATAAAATCTCGTTTAAAATTGTGTTACGATGTCTAAAGTTACTGATAAGTCACATGTTTCCTGCCTGGCCTTGCCCTTGGCATTACCCTCTCTCGTCTGGGCCCTATGCACAGCGCCCAGACGAGAGTGCAGCAAGTGCAGCAGAAGCCAACTGTTGCTATCTTTAAACTATGCCGCCGAAACATAATTTCAGCCAATCAGCGCCGTCAAATCTGATGGTCACAGGGCGCCTACGTCAGCGCCCGGTGCAGTCTGAGTTGTTTGGACTCGTATCCAAGGAGACAAAACAGGAAGCTGTCATACACTCTGGAAGCTATCATTAGCAGCTAATATGAAAACTCAGTTTTTGACATAAAAATTGAATTATGGATTATCAATAGTTTTTTCAAAGTGACAGACACATTGGATTAACCTATGGATTAACCTTCAGCTGCGTTTTTCTCGTTTTTGATCAGAATAACAGCAAAAGGTGAGCATATCTCCGTGTTTTGCTACCTAAAGCTACGTTGTGTGATGTCTGTATTTGCTTCCCCTGTCGCGAGTTCTGATCGCTCAGTGATGATACTTATATTTCTAGAATCTGTGGAATCTCAGCTTGTTAGCTAAGCTTGTTTGTGCATATCCGAGAAGTATATCGATTGATTTACACCTAGAGTGCGTTAGCATTTTTTCGCTCAGGGCTCATTTAGACGCTTCTTGTGAGACTTGTGTTTTGTTTCGGTAAACATGGTTCATATCATCAGTTAGCTGAGTTTCTTCCNCAATCATACAACAGCAACGATGAAATAGTGTAGCCAATTTAATTTAAGGGGTAATTTCTCAAAATGTTCCCCGTGTGGTTTATTCCAGGGGTTCCCAAAGTG